GGACTACCCAGCTCCTGGGTCAGTATTTCTATCTGTTTCGATTCACGAATCTAAACCACCTGAAGTTTTCCAGAGCTAGACAGAAAAGCAAGCATCATTTACCTGAAAGCCAACAGAAAACACAGCTTCAGCAAAGTAGCTGGTGGAAAAGGGTGTGGAAAGTCTGCATTTTTAGAACCGGGCTCATAACTCTCCAGACACAGGACTCCCCATTTTGGCGAACATGGTGTGTCTCTGAAATCATTATAACCCCTCTTCAGCAAGGCGGTGGGGGCTTGTGATGGTGACTTTCTTAAAGTAACTTTCTTGAGAAAATGTTGGTTCTTGACCACAGGATGAATGGACTTTCAGAGGAGGAAAGGAAAGTGAAATTGAGTAAATTCATTGAGAAATGCTAGAAGAGACCTGTCCTGTGCTCTCCTGGAGTCCGCACAGTTAAATAAGCATTAACATAAGAAGAACCAACAGCTCAGGGGGATGAAGTGACAGGCTTCCACTCATAAAGAGATTAAATAGAGAAGCAGGATCCAAACAGAGCAAGTCCACCTTGGAAGCCTCTCCACTAATCCTAGCCGCCCTGCCTGCTGTAAGTTAAGATGTCTGCTGATTATAAAGACCTCCTCACTAACTTTGGTTTTTACCAGTTCTTCCGTGTTTTCCCTGCTTCAAGATCAAATAAGAAACTTTTTGGTGGGGGTTGTGTAGAGGGGAACGTCTGAAAATGAGAGGAAAACGAGCCTATAATCACACATTTGGGAACTTTGATTTTAGGACCGAAAGCGTTAGAGGCATCCATATCTGTTCCCATCTTGATGGACAAACTTAATTAACCTTTGCTACTCTGTTCCAACCTACTGTTTTAGACAAAACTAGTGACCCACAAACAATATGTTACCATCAGAATCTCAACAGCTGTGACATCAAGAGATATAGCCCTATCAGCATTATCGGGAAATAAGCCACTTGGATTAGCTGCTCTAAGAAATATGGATTATATTCACGTCACACATGAGCTGTCAGAAACATTAGGATACTTTTAGCATAAATCAGCAGTGTGAAGGGTATCTTATGAGTACTGAACATGACAGACTGCTCGGAGGGCAAGGTGAGACTGTCTGGGGTCTGCTTCTACACGTGGGCACACGCACAGACACACACTTCACCTGAGCTGGTATGAAAAATTCAAATGCAGGCTGCTGAGGGGTGATGGGTCCGCCCAACTCCCCCTGGGTTAGCGGTATGGAAAGGCCACTCCAAGACTATGATGGACAGCCCACCTCTAAGTAACCAAAATGACACAAGAATGACCAGAAATCTGTTTCCCTGAAGTGTACAGAAGAGGGAGTGGCAGGAGAGGGGACAGGATGGGGAGCCACAGAACCATGCTTAAGGACAATAAACTCTGAGATTTAAATTTGGTTAATCCTATGCAGACATAAGAGTCTCCACTTTCTCTAGTATAACCGGTCTCGGAAAACATCACCCAAGATATGTTACAACCTCTAAGATCTGATAAGACATATCCTAAGATACAAGAAAACATCATATAATACCTGTCAAGGCTTCTTGCAAGGAAAACCAAGAATGTGGGCTGCCCTGCTAGGAAGGCAGAGATATAAGGGAACAGATGTGCCCTCTGCAGTCAGGTAAACCTTGGCTCAAAGCCAACCCCACGCTCAGCAGCTGTGTGATCCTGGCAAGTTACTTCCTCTCCCTGAGTGTCCATTTTCTTACCCACAGATGTAGTAGCGATCCCTGAGGGCTGCCTGTAGGGGGTGAACAGACAGCAGATATGAAGTGCTCAGACTAAGGCTGTTTAACACCTGTCCTGCTGCACCTTCTCCATCCCTTCCCCCAACGGGGCCTCCCTCTGTGGGTGCACTAGTGGGACGGCAATGGTCACACTCCAGGACCCCTCTTTTGGGGTGCCCTTTCCCAGGTATGCCAGGGGTCTGCTAAAAAAGAGGGAGACAGACAAACCTTTTTACCACATACATAAGTTTTTTAAGTATATGGACCTTTTACTTGGTATTTGAAAGAAAACTCCCCTCTCTGAATTTTTTCTACTTTTCAAATCTTAAAAATTTGGAAGCCCCACTCCAGATGCTACCCTGCCACTGTTACATAGAGAGTGAGAGAAAAACAGCAAGAGAGAAGAATGTGCCTTCACGTTTTTTGGAGCCCATACCATTACTCAAGATGGGATTATTTTGTCCTCCTGCATTCTCCCAGGACTGACTGATAAGAACGACTAACTGCCAAGAAGAATGCTCATGAGAAGGAATGAGATGCAAAGATGTGAAAAAACAAAATAAGGACATAATCCCTTTTCCCCGGTTTCTCTGTCTTATGAACCCGCTCGCCAGAGACTGTGCATGACCAGGGTGATGCCCAAGGGCCCTGGGAGCAACCTGTCCTGGGGGTGCTCAGTACAGGGGTCTACTCTCTGCAGAGAACTGTTAAAAATTAATAAAAGTCATGGGGCACCTGGGTGGATCAGTCGGTTAAGCACCCAACTGGATTTTGGCTCAGGTCATGATCTCAAGGCTTGTGAGATCCCATATTGGGATTTGTGCTCAGCAGGGAGTCTGCCTGAGATCCTCTCTCCCTGCCCCTGTTCCCCCACCCCCACGCTCTCTTACTCTAAAATGACTTTAAAAAAAAAATGTAGTAAAACTCGTTTAAGTCAATCTGCTTTGAATTGTCACCATCCAGTGGCCGTTCTCAACAACAGCGGTGATGAGACCCCGGCCTCGGCCCGCCCCTGCACACCACCGCACAGGAACGACATCTCCACAGCCCTCCCCAGGAGAGCTCCAGGCTCAGTCACAGCAGCATCTGAGAATTCCGTGTGTCCTCTGATTCTCTTGTAATCCACTTCCCTGCGACCTATCCATGGGGCTGGTGAGCGAGGCTAGCACAGCACCGGGGGCAGAGCTGGGACTCAATACATGAATGGTAATGATGAAATGGGTGAATGCATTTCTCATACACTCTCTGTAGTGGAGATTTTATTTTTAAGTAATCTGTATACCCAACAACGTGCAGATCAAACTTACAACCCTGAGATCAAGAGTAACACATTCTACCAATCCAGCCGGCCAACCAGGTGCCCCAGAGATATTTTGTGACCCTGTTCTTTCAACCTTTCTACTGTCATATTCCTAATACAGTTTTCTAAAAATAGGCAAACCAGCCTCTCCCATGCATTCCCCCTTGATTTCGGTCTTTATTTCAATTAACGAGGGACACTTAGCAAGCCATATAAAACGAGCTCTCAAGAAATTTGAACCTCACCCAGCCATGTACTTAAACACTCTGAAAAGCAGCTGATTTTGTATCACATTCACATATGCTAAGGAAAAAATGTAAGCTAAAAGGGCAAATATAAACAGTTAAGATTTTGGCCACCAGCCCAACCAAATCAAACCTGAAAACTTTCAAGAACTGTGATCTAATTATCTGGTGTTCAAGCAGATTACAGAATCCCCAAATGACTGGATTCTTTACTAACCTGGTACTACTGTGTCAGAGATCAGGTTGTGTAAAAATCTTGCAACAAACCGATAATGTATTTCTTTCTGCCCCCGACTGAATACAGAGCAGTCCCCGGGGTACACCAGCACTGTGCAGGGTTCTCCAGCTCCGTCCAGGTGACACTGAACTTGTGTTAGAACGGACATGAACCTGCATGTACCAGAGTCTTCCCAGGTTCCTAAACACCTGAGCCCCCCTAAACATGGGGGCTGCCTAGATGCTACCGGACTGCTCCCTGCAGGCTGACAAACAGCACCTCAGGATGTTAAGGGCCCAGCCCCTGGTCAGCACCGCCCGCCCCCCGGGGCCAGGTTTCCAGAGGCCACTTCTATTTTCTTCTGTCATCTGCACTTCTGTCATGGTGCACATCTGCACCAAAACACTTGGCATAAATGCCCGCCCTGTGCCCTGCCACCCTTAGGAGAGAACCCTCAGCCCACCTCTCACCATCTGTCTGGGGTCAGCTTCCGAAATGCCCACTGTCTCCCTCAGCTCTGTTCCAGGCCCAGAGCCACCCCCCGCCCCCCGAACCATTCCTTCCCACACTGCCCTCACTGCAGGCTCAGAAGTGCGCGGGCCACGAAGTCTTCATCATCTGTGAGACAAACCAGCAAGTCCTTCAAGAAGGAAGCAATAAATGCCAGATGCTGGTCACCATGCCCATCGCTGGTGATTGCTGAGAGGCAGGGAGTGGGGGCTGCACTCATGCAGGCCTCAGGGCTCCGTGGTCCCTGGGGCCTGGCGGCCAACAGAAGCCCGCTGCCTACAGGAGCAGGACTGTGTTGTGAAGGCCCCCAAGGGCCGGAGCCATTATCCTCTCCTTCCAAGAGAAGAATCTTGGGAGGAGGTATAAATGCGGCGAAGATTTGACAGGCCTCTGAAGGGGGAAGTTCACAGCAAAGGCAAGGTAGCCCCAAACCTGGAGAAGCCGCATGCCTTCCCTTTGGCTTTAAACTTCCTGAGGTCTGTGGGGACTTCTGTGTTTCCTTAAAGAGAAGATTCTCCGAGACCGACCCTCTGACCTGGCCGAGTCCTGAGTCCTCACCAAGCCAGACAGCAGAGCCTACTTGGGGTTCGTGGGAAGGAGTCCCACAAAATGCTGGGTGTTCACAGAGCTGCCGCAGAAAGGAAGAAAGAGACTAAACCACTCTGCCTGCAAAGAGTTAAGCAGCGTGTAAAGTGGACACAATCCCTAAAAGCAGCAGCAGAAGACCCAGGGAACCCTGCTGTTGTCATGGTGACACACAGTGACTGACGCAGAGGTTTCCAGACTCTCTCTGGACTGCAGGCTAGTAAGATGGAGAAGAGACAGAGACGGGGAGGGGCAGGGATGGTGCTGAGTGAGGGCATTTACACAAAAAGAAATCCTGCCACCTCATAGAATCATTTTATTTTCACAAAACATTGGAGAGCATAGTCTCAATAAAAACAACTAAAAAAATGTTTTGTTAAAGTAAGCTCTTCACCCAGCGTGGGATTTGAACTCACGACCCTGAGATCAAGAGTTGCATGCTCTACCAGCTGAGCCAGCTGGGCGCCCCTAAAAGCAATTTTTTGAATTGAATAATTGAGCTTTATGAAAAATTCCCTTGTCCTTCTTTTCTCGTTTCTCTGTGAAAATCAGCACAGGTAACAACAACCCTCACAGAGGACAGTGAAGCACTAGACACATTCCCAGTCAAGTAAGATCACTCTAATACCCGCTGCAGGTATCAGAATTGAATAATACACCAGGAACATATATGAGAACTGGGGGCATCTGGGGGGAAACGGCAGTGCTAACATTTTTCTGTGTCTATCCTGGATACCCCAAAATAAGCAACTACAAAATGATCAAAACTACAGATTTCACAGAAGTGGTCAGATACGAAATAAATATACCCCATCTCAGCAGAACCCGTCACACTTTCAATCAACATAAACTTACATCTATCTCTCTAATTCCCCTTTAAGAAACCAAATAAAGGTTGTTAGCACTAACAGCCTCAGGCAAATACTGAATCTATTGTAATTACCTTTTCCTAAGGAAAGAAACTGCTTGAAATATTTTAAATGGTATCTGCTCTCATGAACTCTCCTTGTGTGTGTGTGCTGGCAAACTTTGCCAGTTTTTTCCTTGAGAAAACAGGCAGTCAGCGTCCACCCGCCAACAGACAGTGGCCAATACCCAGCTTGCTCTAAGAGGAGAAGCGTCGGCTAGTTTTATCAGCTGGCATGGGACAGTTTGGAGCAGGCAGCCCGGCAATCACAAGACTGTTTGGGGAGAGAGCCCCTGACCAAGGGTAGAGGGCCCAGTGCTGGGTCTTGGCTCCCCTGTACCCAGCCGCGTTCCACTGATCCCTTCGGCCTCCTCAGCTCAGACCTAACCTGGAATCTGAGGTGACCAGATGTGCGTCACCCTGGGGTCCCTGATGGTACAGCTTGGTGGCCTGAGGCAAACAAAGAATGGATCTCAAGTCTGTTAAACCTTAAAAGCTGACGTGGATATTGCATTCTACTTCCTTTTCTCTGACATACTGTTTTTTAGGTTTAAGAGTATTTTAAAACACTGACTGTTAATGAGAACTGTCTCCCTGGGAACAAGAGCCAGATTTAAGCCACCCGCACCCCCGCTGGGCCCTCCTGTGGGACTTCTAGGAGATGGGGAGGGGCCGCCGGCTGCCCCCACATAGCGCAAGCTCCAGAAGTCACTTCCTCTTAATCTTTTAGCTAACATGTTGTTCTGATGCTGAGCAACTCGAATGAAAGGAGGGGGCAGTGTGAAAAGGGCCCCATCAGGCTGCTTGTTGTAGGACCTAGACCATCAAAGCGCAGGGGCTTCTGTAAGGCCCTGCTGCACCCCCTCCCCGACCCATGGAAGGTGCTAGAGGGCCATCCCAGGAATGCTCACAAGAGGGCACCTTCTCCGAGCTCCAAGCTCTAGTTGCCGGAATCAGCTTTCCTTCCCGCTTGTAGCTCAGTTTCAAACACAGGGCTACTTAGATGACCCTCAAGTTCCTGTCTCTTTGTCCAGGTGACAATGGCAGGATTCCACCCCAAGACCTGCATTTCGCATGTTTGTCTGATTCAGTGGCGGATGCCTACCACACAGCAGGCTCTCCGTGCCTGCTTATCTAATAAGCGAACGCACCCAGTGAGAGGCATCAGCATACACAGCATACACAGCATAAGACACTTCAGACTGGGCCCAAAATAACCACCTGAATGAACGAAATCACCCACGTTGCCACTGTGACCACACCAGAACTGTGTTCTAAATGGGAGTCTGCCTGGGAGTCTACACATTGGCGGCCCCAGCTTCTGCAAAGCAATCCAGAGGCTGCCTGCCAGAGGGACAGAAAGGAGACCCCAGGTACAGCTCTGAGTCCTCCCGTATTTATTTCTGCTCACTTGATATGTACCTCTCCCTTGTCAACCTGGTACAACATGTTTATTTAAGAGATAATGTTGCTGTGGAGGAGTGCACAAGGCAATAAACAGCTTTTGCAGGCAATTAAATGCAGAAGTGAAATTGAGCTGCTGGTCAGCGGAACTAGCCATTCATTGTGAGTCTGTTCCAGTGTCACAAATGTTATTCCTGTTTCACAGCAGGACAGGAATCTGTGATTGGGCCACAAATCTCCAGAGGCTGGAGGCAGACCCTGAGGCGATTACAGCAGCTCTCAGCATGCAGGGCATGAACACGGAAGAGGCCTGAGATGCTGGGATGTTGACCTACTATGCTGCTCTATTTCTTTTACTAGATTTTGCATTTAGTAGGTGCTCAATAAATATTTGTGGCTTGCTTGATTTTATAGGGACACCTACCGGAAGCCTCAGCTTTACAATAAAAAGTCAATGATTTCTTTCTGCAAGTAACTCAATGCCCTCCCTACTGATCTCTTAGAAGACTAGCTTTAAAAAATGATGCTGATCTGCACTTCTGTCAGTTCTTTCTAGGAGTCAAAAAATCAGCTCTTTGTTGAGAAACATGTGCTGCTCCCTCAACACACACTGATCTACCGAGCAACAAGGGGAGGAGGATAACAAACAGAACGGTGGCTTGCTCTGGCGAGGAGTGAGGAAGGAAGTCAGCTCCTAGCAGCAAGTCAAGAAGGTAGACAGAGGAGATGCTGCCAGAGGTTTGGGCCCTTGAGGTGGAGCCAGGGTCTGACCAAGAGAAGACGCAGACAGGAGAGGCTAGCGCAGGGCTCTCCGGATGCACATGTGGGACACCTGCCACAAAGGAGATGAAGAACATGATGACAGGCATGGGAGCACCCACATGCTGCCCTCCCCTGGGAAGCTTCCACCAGGAGGGCACAGGGCATGGCCCAAAGAACAGAGCCAGGGCACCTTCCCGAAACTGTGGGGCCAGAGCTCAGATGGCTGTTCCATACACGCCTGCCCTAACAACTTGGTTTAAGAAGTGAGTCGTCCAGAGCGCCTGGGTGGCTCAGTCATTAAGAGTCTATCTTCTGCTCAGATCATGATCCCAGGGTCCTGGGATCAAGACCCCCATTGGGCTCCCTGCTCAGCGGGAAGCCTGCTTCGCCCTCCCCCACTCTCCCTGCTTGTGTTCCCTCTCTTGCTCTCTCTCTCTCTGTCAAATAAATAAATAAATAAAATCTTTTAAAAAAACAAAAGGAGTGAGTGATCCAGTTCTTTTAAATAGCAAGAATGCTTACTACTTGTAAGAACTGCTTAAAGGTCTTCACTATTTAATTAATAGTTCTCTATAACTTACACATCTTAAACATATGTTGCATCATTATAATCGTTGTCTACGCTTTCGGTTTTCTCTTTGCTAAGTGGAACACATTCTTTCTTCCCCAACCCTGATAAAAATTATTCCCAATACTTTCATACTTGGCCCCTACTCACATGTCAGTCTTTTAACAGCAACTAAAACGTGCCTTATGTATCCTGTATCTTGTTACCGAGGGGATCTGAGATAACTAAGTAAAATACATATGAACAGAAGACTAAAAAATGCGTAGATTTTTAAAAAATAATGCTTAATGAAAACAATTCACTGTGGTTCACGCTGGCATGGCCCTTGGTGTGCCCAGAAGCTTCCCCATGCAGTAGTCTCCTCACTGCAGGTGCACTACCTCTGTGTATCCAGGCAACAATGAAGGCAGGACTATGCCCACTTCACAGACAAAAACACAGAGATTCAAAGGCTGTTTTGTATTTTGCTCAAAGCTTCAAGAACAGTTGAATCACAAGTTAGAAATGAATATAGATGTTCCAGCATGAGATTCCAGGTTCCTCTAATCCAACAGACCTAGCTGTCAGTCTGGCCTCTGCCATCACTGACTGTGGATATGGAGTGAATCCCTTCTGCTCCAGACCTCTGTTTTCTCTGCAGCAGGATGGGCTGAACTGGAACCGAATAGGACCCACTGCAGCTCTGATCGTCACTGGCCTGATGGTCACTTGCCACTCTGCAAACTGATGGCTTGCATCTCTATAGGCTCTTGTATTTTAGATGTTAGGAATTTATTTCCAAGAGAACTACTTTTTGCGGGTCTCACACCAAAGTTATAAGTCAAGCTTGTGTTTATATCTGGTTATAAGGTTAATCCAGACTCCTACGGTATCAGACTTAGAGGGAATGGAGAAGCCAAATGGTCAAGTCCCCTTGTCGCAATCATTAGGATCATTTTCTAGGTTACAGACATACGGCAGGTGCGCCTAAATATGCTTTACTGATAATCACAGTCAAAGGAAAGTTGTATGCAGATTCCAAAAACAACTTTCAGACAGCAGGGAACTCAGCATATTTTAAACACTAACTGCCAAGATGGCATATATTTCAGGAAAGCTTCAGCGGTCCCATTCTCAGCCATCTGAAGTAACCACACACCCACACCGCTCTAGAAGTTTCTGCCTAATTCCAACCACCATGAGTGAAGAAAGAAAATCAGAAGAGCGTTCCAAGAAGATCCCCAGTGAAAAGCAAAGCACTTAGGTAGAAATTCTAAACCCAAAAGAACTAAACAGGGTGGCCTTAATGTTCATATTAATTAATGGTGGTTCCCGTGGCCCTGAGATTTTGGCAGACCCAACGGTAACTAGTGCTGAGAAACACTGTGGAGCCAGAACTCCAGCTCTCCTGTCTGGTGGCTGTGTGACCTTGGCTAAGTCAGCCCTGAGTCTCAATGTCCTTCTCTCTAAAGAGGAGACAACATGATCTGCTTCCTGAGGCCATGAGGAGGACTCACTGGCCAGCAAACGCTGGCTGTCATCACTGGTGCTATTACTTACTAAGAGGAATGGGAATCAACTACAGCATCAGAAAAGGATCTGGTTCTGCAAAATAATTTGTTTTATGAGAACAGATTACCAATGGCGACTGGCTAGGAAAGAAAAAGTCTTAAGCCCAGCCTCCTGGGGAAATAAACTCCTATGTTACACGATGTCTTGGCATCTCTCCTGGGCAGCTAACCAGGGACACCTCTCTCCATAGGTGGCGGTGCAAGGGAAAGCATGAGCAGCCTCAAAGCTGGCTGGCCCCACAGGACGAAGAAAGTTTGGGCACGGTTCTTCCTTCCCGCTTTGCTAGCCAGGGTGCAGGAACGTGCCCTCGGGGTACTCTCTCCTTGCACACAGCACCTGAGATGACTCTCCAAGACCAGGCAAGGAAGATGGCTGACAGAGCCCGTCTCCTCTTGGCTGTCCCTGGGAGAGAGGGACTTGGCAAGAGTCCTCCAAGGAAATCCAAGACCTCTGCCACCCCCTTCCCAGGTTTTCCAGGTGGAGTAAGAAGCAGCATTAGGGTGTCGAGCGTCATACGCCAGCCGCCATCTTACGCCTGCTGAATGAATCTGATGAAGTAGATGTTGGACTTCACTCTAAAGCTGATCATGAACTCGCCGGCTTTCTCTCGGAACACACTTAAGATGTTTTTCGCTCATCTGTTTTCTCATAAGCAACAGGTTCACCTTCCTACTTTATCCTTAAAGCCTGGAAGTAGCCAGGAAACCAGGACACTTCAGTAGTAGTCCCTGCTTCCCGGGAATCTACAGGCTGCACTGTTTTTTTGTTTTGTTTTGTTTTGTTTTTTTTTGTTCTTTGTTTTGTTTTTCAGAATTATAAGATACTTCTTTCTCCTTCCAGAGAAGAGAGTCTCTGATAGAAATCAACCTAAAACCTGCCCCTAATAATAAAGTCCAGCCGGCATGTGGACAGACTTGCAGGGGTCCAGGCTGACTGATCCATAAATCACTGCACTTCCTCTATCTCGTATTACTCTGAGTTCGCACACCCACAGGCTGTAAGGTCTCTTCTTAAAAAGTATGATTCTAAAAAATAAAATGTGGAAAACATGAAAATGTGTAGCCCAGCAGATTACAACAGACATACTGATGGGCTGAAGAAGTCTGATCCCGAAGTGTAATGAGAGAATCCACAAAGTGGGGAAGCATGAATATTAAGAACTTCCCCACACCTAAGAAATGCAAAATATAATAGAATTGCTCAGAGGAAAAGTTTAACTCACATTTTTTAAGGTGCACATAAGAAGGTCAAAGATTTGCCCTAAACTCCCAAATATGTCTGTCCATTGTGCTGGAAGCCCCACTGACAAAGCCTGAACATGGTAAACATACCCAAAATACGTTCTCCCACAATCATAACACCGAGGTCGGAGGGGGCTTGGCAGGGGTGAGTGTCAGCACTTGTGTGTCCACACTCCTGCAGCATGGGGACCCAGCCTGGGAATGCTTTCCCTGCCTCCACCTGCCTCACACATACTCCAGGATTGAAATGGTTAAAGCTGAAGGAGCATGACAGCTTCCGGTACAACACGCCTTTCCTGACAATGCAAAACGCTTTCTTTTATCTGAGATGTTAACTTAAAAGTTCTTGGTTAGGGGCACCTGGGTGGCTCAGTCGTTAAGCGTCTGCCTTTGGCTCAGGTAATGATCCCAGGGTCCTGGGATCAAGCCCCTCATTGGGCTCCCTGCTCAGCAGGAAGCCTCCTTCTCGCTCTCCCACTCCCCCTGCTTGTGTTCCCTCTCTAGTTATCTCTGTATCAATTAAATAAATAAAATCTTTAAGAAAAAAATAAAAGTTCTTGGTTGTACACTGAGTATGACTGATGATCTTCATTTCCACCCTTAAAAACAAAACAAAACAAAACAAAAAACCAACAATTTGGCCTAGAATGACAATGACCTAATTCGTTTTCTTACCTTGCTTCCACAGAAACATACAGATGATAAAACTTCTCCCTCCCGAGGTGCTAATTCATCACTAATGTTACTGCCAGCCAGAAGGCTGCACCCACCATGTTCTAAGCTGCTCAAAGAAAGTAGGGATGAGCCTGGAGGGGGAGAGACCTCACAGTGAACCCCTTGTGAAGCTGACTCTACCCAACGGGGTCTTTATGTAAAATGATAGTTAAAAATGAGAAAAGTAAAATTTCAAACACAAATGTATACAAGCATACTCCCTTACAATCCCTGCAGCCAACCTCTGGGGTCACATGACATCATGGGAGAGTGAAGCCCTTTCCACAGCATTGGCATAACGTGTACACACATGTGTGAGCTGGTCATGGGTACGTCTGTGTGTGCTCTCGACACATCCAGTAGCTCTGGGTAATGTCTTACCTGCCACTGGTTTCCTGTCTGCCCGGGCACATAAGGTGCTGGGAGACTCCGAAGGCTGTTCTTCACGGGGGACCCGCCAAGGGGGCTTCCCACGTCCCCAGAAGAGGAATCCGCAGCCAAGGCCATGGAGTACTGCGGGTAGTTGTACAGATTGTTGTAGTAAGGGAACAGAGATGGCTGGTAGAAGCTGCTGTAGTAGGTGGAGTCAGACACGAGGTCAGGTGTGTTCTCCACGTGCCCTCTGCTGGTGACAGCAGGAATATCCTGGATGATCATGCGTCCCTCTAGAAAGACAGACAAAAAGACCATAAGGTATTAAATGCGGGAGCGGGGGTAGGGGGGTGGTCCACAAAACTTTGACTCGAAACCCTGGTGACCTATGGCCTTCCTCATCTCCAAAGGGGTAGGGGAAGGGTCTGGAACACACTGCTTCCTCCTAGGGCTGAAATACAGGATAAGTGTCTAAGGCTGGCGGAGCGAGTAACACAGCTGGGCAGCCCTTGCTGGTCAGTTTTTATTGAGAATACCAAAAACATTTTACTAACGTAAAGCTTGACCAGATTTAACTTCTCCCCAGAGAATCCTATTCTAACATCAAGAAATTAGAGATCAACTCTCGTTAACTTGGCTGTCCGTATCATTTCTACAACAAAATTAATTGTACGTCACTTTAAATAAATAGAAAAATCCCACTGCCCTAACTATGGTAGTCACACTGATATATCAAAGAGCCAAAGTGAAAGGCTAAGAGTTGAAGCAAACATTGTTTCCTTTACTTCCTTCCGCAGCTGATACTGTATCCTTCAGGAGTCTGGACAATAGTATACACTGGGGGAGACAAACTTCTGGAAAAGGTCAGTTCCTAACTATTTCAGGCTTTGTGAGCCATTCAGCTGCAGAATGTCCAGTTGCTGAGTGGCTGTGTTGCAATAAAACTTTATTCACAAGCGCAGACATTGGGCCGAAGCAACCTAAAGTCTATAGGTTCTCAACCCTGGGTCTAGATATTAAATTGTGTCGATGGCAATCAACAAGCAGACTTCTAAGACATCTCTCCAAAGGACATCCATTAAACAATGTTCAAAGAGTGGGTCCACGTGCCTGAAATGGCCGCAAGGTGTCAGGATGCCCCTCCCCAGGGAGTCTGCAGTCACGGTGAAACATGTGATGGGATTACAAACAACAGCAAGAATGATCACACAGGAAGACCCAGAAACTTTTATGGAAACCCAAAGACTGGGAAGATGACCTGCAGCCTAGAAAAGATTACAGAGATCTTGGGGAAAAAACTGTACCCCAGCTGCCCTCTAATGGAGGAGCAGAAAGAGGTGTAAACAAGGACAAAAGACTGGGAGCAGGAAAGGGGGAGGGCTTGGGAGTGCTGGACAGGGCGGTGGGGTTGAAGAACTGGGTGCAGGGAATGGGAAAAAGTGGAGCTGGAGCGAGGGGTGGGGAAGCCTCTTCAGACCCTGCAGGGTACGGCAGGACCTCAGATGATTTCCAAGCCAGGAGCACATGGTCCGATCTGTGTTACAGAGTGATTTACCTGATGGCAGTCTTAGGACAAGCAAAGGAAAGAGAACCCTGAAGTCTGCAAACAGAAGTGAGGGACCTATGCCATGCGTGGGGAGACAATTCGGCAGACCTGGAGGAGCGGTCTGGGGAGAGGGAGAAGCCTAGTGTGGCAGGGGAGAGGGAGGTGGCAGGTTCTGCTGAATAGAGGAGATGCTGGAGGCACATGCAGGCTACCAGGGAGGGCGAGAAAGTGCACTCCTGGCAGAGAGGAGGTTGACAGCAGGGATCCAGGCACCCAGGAGGTGCTGGCTGCCTCTGGGGAGAGGAGGAGGGAGTTGTTAAAAAACAGTGTGTTCTGGGAGAAGAGAAGGGATCCGGGGGTAGAACTGGGAGAATGGAGGAAAGAACACAACGTCACACAGGCCAAAGTTGATGGGGATCCTGGAGGGGCCAGGATGGCTTGTCAACTGCAGCTAAGACATCAAGCAAATCAGTTCTGGAAAAGACCAACTGAGGACTAGTTAAGTCTTCAGGGCCTTGTGGTTTTTGCACAGTGGAAGGAGCAGGAGCTTCCAAGAGATCGAGGAACAAGTAAACAATGAGACAGACCACATGAGCACGGACAGAGTCTTCTCTTCACCAGAGTGCTGGTCCAGCAAGCAGGCAGCATGCCTCCGGGTTCCCCTGCGCATCCCCATATCTAGCAGTGCAGGTCATGCAGCGGTCAGTATTTGCAGAAGGGAATAAGGCGTAATGGTTTTCCGAGTAGCCAGGCATCAAAATAAATGTGAGGAAGACAGAGAAGCTCCTAATAAGATGTTATCTCATTTTTAAACCACAGAGAAGGGTTGAGCATAGATAAGCAGGGAGAAGCCAGTGGATAGAAATTCCCCAGAGTCAACACATGGCCCAGAGCAGATGCTCAGATGTCCACTGGCTAAATGTGGAAGGGGAAGAAGAAAATATAAAAAAAGTACAAGTTCTGTTTTACAACCTCATTTTAAAGTCAGTGCTAACATCTCTTTTCTCTCAAAGAACACCAAATCCATCCCCTTAAGCTCCTGCCAATGTTCTGTCAAGCCAATTTTTATTATAATTCTTCCCTTTCTTCTCTCCTCTTCCCAGATGGTGAGATAAGAAATTCCAATTTTGTTATTCTATACCGCATTGAGAGAAGACCCATGCCTATTCTCTCCTCCTGAACTCCCCTACTTTTTCTTTTCTTTTTTTGAAGAGTGAAAAATACATTTTATTTAAAATGTGATAATGATGCTATTTTATCTTTTTTTTCCTTTGATATACTTTATTTTTTTTCATATGCTTGCTTTATTTTTTTTTTAATTTTATTTTTTATAAACATATATTTTTATCCCAGGGGTACAGGTCTGTGAATCGCCAGGTTTACACACTTCATAGCACTCACCATAGCACATACCCTCCCCAATGTCCATAATCCCACCCCCCCTCCCAACCCCCCTCCCCCCATCAACCCTCAGTTTGTTTTGTGAGATTAAGAGTCACTTATGGTTTGTCTCCCTCCCAATTCCATCTTGTTTCATTTACTCTTCTCCTACCCCCTTAACCCCCCATGTTGCATCTCTTCTCCCTCATATCAGGGAGATCATGATAGTTGTCTTTCTCTGATTGACTTATTTCGCTAAGCATGATACCCTCTAGTTCCATCCACGTCGTCGCAAATGGCAAGATTTCATTTCTTTTGATGGCTGCATAGTATTCCATTGTGTATATATACCACATCTTCTTTATCCATTCGTCTGTTGATGGACATCTAGGTTCTTTCCATAGTTTGGCTATTGTAGACATTGCTACTATAAACATTCGGGTGCACGTGCCCCTTCGGATCACTACTTTTTCTTATTTTAAACACCAAACTCATACCATAACAGGTGGATTTCAGTAGCTAATTCAAGTGTTTAATGTTGTGTCTTCATTGTTTTCCTGATTAAATTAGCAATTTAAGTTTTGCAAAAATGACAAATTGTATGGATATTTAAATCAGAGAAGAAATGACATATACTTTTTAAAATTTTTTACTTAAATTCTATTTAGTTAACATATAGCATATCATTAGTTTCAGGGGTAGAATTTAGTGATTTATCAGTTGGGTATAACACCCAGTGCCCATTACATCACATGCCCTCCTTAAAGCCCATCACCTAGTCACCCCAGCCTCTTCACCCACCTCCCCTCCAGCAATCCTCAGTTTGTCTCCTAGAGTTAAGAGTCTCATATGGTTAGTCTCCCTCTCTATTTTTATCTTATTTTTCCTTCCTTTCCCCAATGTTCATCTGTTTCGTTTCTTAAATTCCACATGGTGAAATCATATGGTATTTGTCTTCCTCTGACTTATTTTGCTTAGCATAATACCCTCTAGTTCCATCCATGTCATTGCAAATGGCAAGATTTCATTCTTTTTGATGGCTGCATACTAGTCCATTGTATGTGTGTATATATGTATGTACATACATACGTGTGTGTATATGTGTATATATACCACATTTTCTTTATTTATCTGTTAATGGACATCTGGGCTCTTTCCACAGTTTGGCTATTATGGACATTGTTCTATAAACATTGGGGTGCACATGACCCTTTGAGTCACTATGTTTGTATCCTCTGGGATACAAGAATAAATACCTAGTAGTGCAGTGACTGGGACATAGGAAAGTTTTATTTTTAACTTTCTGAGGAACTTCCATACTCTTTTCCAGAGTGGCTGCCTCTGTTTGCATTCCCACCAACAGTGTAGGAGAGTCCCCTTTCTCCGCATCTGTTAGTTTCCTGAGTTGTTCATTTTAGCCATTCTGACTGGGGGGAGGTATTATCTCGTTGCAGTTTTTATTTGTATTTCCCCAATACCAAGCGATGCTGAGCGTTTTTTCATGTGTCTGTTGGCCATTTGTATGTCTTCTTTGGAGAAATGTCTGTTCATGTCTTCTGCCCATTTCCTGATAAGACTTTTTGTTTTTTTGGGTGTTGAGTTTGATAAGTTCTTTATAGGTTTTAGATTCTAAGCCCTTTATCTGATATATCATGAATGACATAGTCTTAACCACTCAGTCACAAGCAGTGATGGGACATCCATACACAGTCTCAGACAGTTAGGAAGGCATTTTAGATGTTCATCTGTGTCCCCGCAGTGAGAAACCTGGATACCCCTTATGACCTGCCTTTCAAAAGCAAGGGTCTCAATACAGAAAACAAAGTACTTTAGTGGGCAAAGAATTAAATAGAACCCCAAGAACACTAGCATTCTACGGACACGGGTTCATGAATTTCTGCATCACAACTCAGTCAGGATCTTTTAGCAGGTCTCAGCTCTATCCAGCAACAAAATGATGCTGGTAATAATTCTCAAGGCAACAAGAGGACAGACTGAACAAACTACACAGGGAACCTCAAATGACATGCTATGTCAGGTCAGAGCAAGGATTTGCTTTGCTATAGGAGACTGTCATTAGCTAGTGATGCCATCACTTTCCCACCCACCCATATTTTATTTCTTCTTTCAGATTATAGAATAAATTAAGATACATGTTGGAAAAGCTTCATTTCATACCAGTATTCAAATAATAAAAATCATTTGAGCTCCTTAAGAAAAGATGCCTTAATATTTTCCAATCCTAAAATGTTTAATTACTCTTAAGTGACATTTCAGGGATGCCTCGTGGCTCAGTTGGTTAAGCATCCAACTCTTGATGTGGCTCTGGTCATGATCTCAGAGTTGTGAGAGGCTGGGCATGAAGCC